ATTACATGGTACACTGACCCCCTGGGCTTTTCTCCACTTAGATTTAATTATAGACAAAGAAGCACATAGGAATAGTGCCCGTTTCTTGTGTGCTGGGAATACCTGAAATCCAGAGAGAAATTACACACAAGAAAAAGATGGTATGCATTGCTTTTGTTTGGGTACATGTTGCCCTTTATCTTATTTAATCCAGCCTTTTTGTGCAAACACTGTATTTCCAACTGTATTGCACATCCTGTCTGCACAGTATCCTTTTAATCCATAAATTTAAACCTAAACCAAGTAAAGAGTTTGGTGGAGAGTTATGAAAATAGAAAACTCCTGTTGGGTTCAACTTCTGAGTAGCAGCTGGAGAAAGAAACATATTTACTAACAATTATATCCTTATTGCAGAAAGAATGTGTCTGTTGTTCTGAAGATGATGGCTTGGTGTTCAGCACCAGCTTCTCCCAGCATTTAACAAATCGTGCTCTGAACTGAGTGTCTGCCTTACATGAGTGCTCAGAGGTCAGCCTCCTGACCTGCCCCTCTAATGATTTCAGATTCGGCAAAAACATGACCTGTAGGTTCATGGCCAGTCTAAAAAAATAGACTTCCAGTGTAGTTTACATTTCTTGGATAATTTCTTACTTGTTATTTTTTGTTTTGGTTTTTGAAAAAATTGCTGGGATGCCATCTGAGAAAACTCACTTGCCAGCTATTTGATGACTTTTTGACTGCGCTGTTTAAAAGGCAGCATTCCTCTATTTGTAAACCTGTGTTGCCAAAAGAAAGAACCAGGTTCTGTCAACCCCCTGCTTCATGATGCACTTCTTGCCTAGCTTGGAGTAATCCGGTGTTCCACTGAGAGACCACTTAGATACACCCAATGGGTGGGCTCTCTGCTTGGACACAGTCCACATCTGTAGAGAGCTCACAGGAACTGGAGAATTTTCTTCTCTTTGGACTATTGTTTTATTCTACTATTACTGCTACTACTTCTAATAATAATAGGCTGTGACTTGGGAAAAAGGTATCACTCCCACGTTCATTCCAATACCTTTTTTTCTGTAGTTTGGTTAACTACATGAGCTTCTGTCATCTAATTATCAGCAACTTATTAAAGAAACCTCCAAGTGAAAACAACAAGTGCATACAAAAGGTGCTTGCCAGGAAACACCCAGGAGATGATGGTTTCCACCATCAATCGTCTGTGCAAGCTCAGTTCTCCACCTCCTGCCAGGAAGACTTCTCTCAGGTGCTCCCTCATTACACATCCTTAGCACTTGTTGGCTCTCCCCCTCACTGGGCTCTGGCTTGCCGTTGTCCTGGGATGTTTCCACTTTGCCCTCTGGCTGCTCCGCCCCTGGAATGTTCCACTCAGCATCCTTGTCACCTGCAAGTCACTGTTTTCATACCCTTCTCACTCTGTGTTTCCATTAGACTTTTCCTTCCTTGGTATGAGTACTTTCCCTGAGACAGTTAACCTGCCCCACTCTCTAGACTGCCACCATATCTTCTTCCTGCCAAGCCTGGAGTCCATGAGGAGTGGCTCAAAATACCCTTAGCCTCCCCCTTTCAACAGCCTTCCAAGCCCCTGCCTGGAAAATGTCGGTCATGCACAGGTCCATGGCCCGGCTTCTCCACCCCTTGGCTGGATGGCGCCATTCATTGCTTGTGGATGGTGGAAAGCGCTTCTGGGGAAGTCTCCTGATCTGATGATCTCTTCTCGCCTCCCCTTGTTGGCCTCTCCTTGCACCTCCTATCCACTCTCTCCAACATCACTGTTAGAGAAAACCTGAAAATACGAGAATCTTCAAATGATGCAATTCCCTCTCTAATCCCCTCCCCGCCCCACCTGCCTTCTGATCACCTCTCTTCATCCTCAACTCCCTCCCAACGCTTTCAGAGGAAGGAGCGTTCTTCCTCCAGCGCCAAGTGTGGCTTTGCTACATCAAGTGTCCTGTTTCCTGGATCTTCAGTCTCTTCCTCTCCACGAGTTCCCTCCTTGGGTCCCATGAAGGTCTTCAAATTTCCTCCATCTTTGTAATCGATAGGAAGCAAAATAACTTGGCCCTGTATTCTCTGCCAACAATGGGCCCCTTCCCCTCTTCCATTTATAGTCAAACTGTACTTGCTACCCTTACCGCCTTATTTCTCATTTACTCTTTTTCTATTGTAACTTTTAAATTTAAATTTTCATATTTAAAAATGCCAAACATCCATCATACATACAGAAGAAAAATTTAAAACTTTAAATCTCTAGTGTGTTACCACCAATTTAGTGTTATGTTTTCTATTTATGCATCAATTTATTTTTCCTCTTCACCCATGAGTACTGTGTGCTGCCAATAGATAAGGCTTCTCTTTCAAAATCCAAACGCCATTATCCTACCTAAAAATAAATGGACAAAACCTCTTGCTATCATGAAATCTCTATCACTGGAAACACTTTAATGACTACTCTTCTAGAGTTTTTTCTATTTATACTTATGCAATGTAATTATATAACAAGTTTTAATAAAAAATACAAATTAACATATATGCTATTACATAAGCTGTCTTTTCTCCTTACTAATATCTTACATCTTTCTAAATTAAAATATAGCTTTATATTATCACTTAAAAAATGTCCATTAATATTTTGTATAAATATAATTTATTTAACCAGTAACCTGTACAATATGCCCACAAAGTTTTAGGTTACTGCCTTTCTCTCTATCATAAGTAACATTAAAATTGTTTCTAATGTTCTTTATCTAGAAGACAAGATACATTGATCCGTGAACCATGGACAGTTATAAGGAATGATAACAAAGACATGATCATAAGTTTTCAAATAAGTGCTCATTTACCCAAACCATTCACTCTCCAGTTGCTGCAATTCAATTTTCACCTCTACCAATCCCCTATGTAGGAAAGAACATCCATAATGTCTGTTTTTGAAGAAAAAAAATCTTATTTATTATTTATTCAGGTGTATGTGGAGAGCAGAGAGAAAGAGAGACCTAGAAATATAGAAACAGTGTTTCCATCCCCTTGTTCACTCCCCAGATGCCTGCCAGAGCCAGGGCTGTGCCGGCCAAAGCCAGGAGCCAGAAACACTCAATCCTGGTCTCCCTTGTGGATGGCAGGGACCCAACCACCAGAATCAGCATCTGTGGCCTCCCAGGGTACCTTTTAGCCAGGAGCTGGAATCGGAAGCAGAGCCAGGTCGAGAACACAGCAGTGAGCTATGGGGTGCAAGCACCTCGAGCGGCGTATTAGCCACAGTGCCAAACGCCTGCCCCATGCACAATGTCTTGAAAGACAAATTCGGTGAATACTTTTGGTCCTCGCCCTTCTTTTCTCCCCTGCAGGATTTGGTGCTCTTGATCACTCCTTTATCTTCCCGATGTTCTGTTCCTTGGGCTTTCCCGGATCAGCTCCTACATCTGATTTCCCATCTGAGTTTTCCTTGCTGCATCCTCTTCCTCTGCCTGCTTGCTGATAGTTCCTGGGAGCTTAGCCGTGACTCTCTGCTGCTCATTTTACGTTTTCTCTTTGGGCAGCTCAGACCAGTGAGCAGGCAGCTGTGGCTCAGCCTGAAAGGCACTGAGACAGAGCTCGGGGAGCCAGCTGGGCAGTTGAGGAGGGGCGAGCTGTTCTGCAAGTAAGCGGGGAAGCTGAGGGTGAGGGGCTCCTGGTTAGAGCTGGAGAGCACGGGGAGCCCTGTGCATGCCGGGGTAGGGAGCGTGGACTCGGTCTGTTTGTCTGGGCCCTTAGGACACCTGAATGCTATCATTCCTTCTTTTGTCCTACACCCTCGACTGCAATGTACGAATTTCTTTTCTCATCACAGGGAGATGAATGTACCATCATTGCTACGGTGTCTATTCAGGGAGCCTGTGAAAGAACACTTACCCCTCAGCACAGGAATGGTGGGGAGAGGTGCAGGGGAGGGCGCAAAATTAGAGTTCTGTATTCAGTTGGTCCAAAATGAGGAAGGTGAACAGGGTAAAACATGTGATTTGCTGGAACTCTCAAAGTATTTATTCAACCATCAGTGGTACCCAACGTGGAGCCTGAGGTAAAATCATCAGTTCTAGAACACTTGCAAAAGAAACGTGGGCCTGAAAACAAGCTCAGGACAGCACAGAGTGCATAATGCACGCCTTGGAGAAGTCTTTTCATTCGAAAACAGTTGTCTCCTGAGGGAGCCTTCTCCAGAGCACAGGGTGGGGGCTCAGCCGTGCACACACTGGGTTCTCCACCAACGGAGCTGTTTCCCCATGGCCGGCCCCTCACTTTTCTACACATTTTTTTAAGATTTATTTTATTTATTTGAAAGACAGAGTTACAGAGAGAGGTAGAGACAGAGAGAGAGGTCTTCCAAACACTGGTTCACTCCTCAGATGGCTGCAATGGCCAGGGATGCACTGATCCAAAACCAGGAGCCAGGAGCTTCCTCCAGGCTTCCTCCAGGTCTCCCACGCGGGTGCAGGAGCCCAAGGACTTGGGCCATCTTCTACTGCTTTCCCAGGCCACAGCAGAGAGCTGGATCAGAAGAGGAGCAGCCGGGACTAGAACCGGCACCCACATGGGATGCTGGCACTTCAGGCCAGGGCGTTAATCCACTGCGCCACAGTGTGGGCCCCTCTCTGTACACATTCTAACCAGCCCCACTACAGAGAGAGAGGAAAGCGACATAGAGAGAATGATAACTCAGGCCTGAAAAGGCAGCTCCATGTTTCCTATCCTTAAGGGAAAATTACTTCTCCTTAAAACCTTATCCTTGTAAGATGAACTTCCCAGGATGCATTTCCCGTACTTCATGAATTCCAGGGACAGGGTGGTGGTAAGGCGTGTCCCTGGTCATTGCAGGTCCCTGTGCTGTTGATCATGCTGCAGGGACATCACAGCCTGTCTGAATTCTCAAGGGAATCCAATGCACTTGGACTCAAACTGCCTGCAGGGCAAGACTAGTGAAAAGGCAGCAGCTCCGCATGCCATTGTGTGTGACTCCTGCCTTCTGTTTGCAGCCCGCTGCCTCCCCAGAGGACACTGCTGAGATTAGCGCCTTCCTGCGAAACTCCACCATTCCTCACCTTGTCAGGAAGAGGGATGTGCCCATGGCCCAGCTCCACAGACAGGCCCCCGCCAAAGTCCTGGTGAGTCATTCCCGTGTGCGCAGCACCGCAGGGGAGGGTCGGGTTGGACACACTTCCCAGGGGTAGGTGCTTCTCACTTCCGGTGTTGTTCTCAGTCTCCTCCAAGGCTCAGATGTGCCCGGCCTTTCCTGGCAGTGCACACTGTGAGAAAGCAGAGTCCCTCTTCCTGGAGCACTGAAGAGCACTTGCAGTGTAACCTCCCCAGTCGTCTAAGCCTGCAGTGCGGCCACTCACAGAAATGATGATGCAAACATCACATGTGACCTTTCACCCCTTTCAGAAACATACGGCTTCCATTGTTTGCTGGTCCACAGACTTTGGGCTGGTGCACCTTGGACAGGCGCCATCCTTCCAATGGGCCCAGGAAATGGTGCACATGTCCCTGAATCTCACAGTCCTCCACTTGTCCAGACAGGCAAGAATGGTGTGTTGAGGTCTCCTGGCCAACCCCCCGGCAAGTCAGAGCACTGAGCGCTGAGTAATTCTGGAAGACTGAGCCTAGCCTGCCCTCGCATTCCTGAGTCAGTGTTTTGGTATCGTTCTACTCAGACCAATGCCATTTACAGAGCTGTGTCACCTCTCTAAATATTTATCCCTTTCCCTGACAATATTGCAAAGGCTCAACGTGAGTGTTAAGGTTCAGTTCATCTGTGTTCTACAGACCAGCTCCATAAACAATTAGGAAGCTACAACCACACTCCTAACAGGTCACCTGCAAACCCAAGAACCACATGAAATGGCACCCAGAAACCTGGGGCGGGGACACACTGAGAACTCTGTGCCCCAGCACTGGGGCTGGGGTCAGCGGCCCAGCAGGTACTTCCTGCCCCAAGGCCACGGTGCAAGAGCTCAATCCAAAACGTTTTCTCACGTGGTGATGCCAAATCCAGAGCCACAACCCCAGCCAACAGGTATCCATTCCAAGAGGCAAACCGGAGGGAGCGACCTTGGGGAAACAGCACAGTATGGAAAGGAAGGCGGTGGCACCGCTGCGAGAACACCCTTAGCCAAGGAGGGCGACGCTGCTGTTTTTCCAGGGCAGCAGTCGCTGCGCTCCGTGAGTTGGGAGCCATCAAACACCCAAGCCCGTGCTGCTTTCTTGCTCTGTATATCCTGCGTTCATCCCAGAAATGTGGGATTGCTTCCAGGCTCGTCCAGGGACACCGTGCTCTGGCCTCTGGGACACTGTCTTGTTCCACTTGTCTACCAAGTGGAAAGCCAGCGGGACAGGTGGTGTGTGTGTTTGGGTTTGCTGAGCATTTTTGTCCTCCAGGCTGCAGCTCAGTGCCTGGTTCATTTGTGGACTGACTATGTGGATGATGCAGTGAATGAACTCATCAAGCTGCCTCCTAATAAGTTCCTAGAGTCACCTGCAGGCTGCCTGTGGTGCCCCAGCTGACATGTTCTTAATCTTCCTCCCTGACCCTAATGTTCTAAATCTTAAATCCAATTCTAAGCAAATGACATATTGCAAGCATTTTAAAAAATAGTGTTGAGGCTGACTGGATTCACGAGCCCACCCACCTGCTGAAGTCAGATACCATGGCTGTTGCAGTCATCTACAAGGAATAAAATTACTCTAGCCAGTTATGACGCTGAAATGATTTGAGATGGGTACAGGAACAGATCTATGCCGGAGAAACGGAATCCCTGGTTTTAGTATTTGTATGACTGAAAGGAGTAATAATAAGCTTAATTTACAAAAGAGGAGAATTGAGAGTTGGAAGGGATTGACAGAACATAAAATGCAAAATGATGATAGGAGCGAATGTTAACAATCACTTCCCCCTTTACTAAAGCAGAGGACTCAAAGAGTATCAATAGCATTCCACTCTTAGTTCAATTAATGGAAGGAGGTGTGTGGGGGTGAGGCAGAGGCAGGGAAGTTCTAATAAAAGAGGTCATACCCAGGAAAGATAGATGAAATGGGCGGATCTAGGCAGTCACAGAGCAGCCATGAAGTCATCTGCCTCACGCTAAAGAGGCACTAGGAGAGAAGAGTGCTTCATTCTGCTTCATAATCCATGGGCTTGGTACACAGTTCCAAGATCCAGATGAACACCCTCTGCCCACAGGCCCCGCCTTTCCCTGAGTGCCGAGCTCAGCTCACTTCGCCCACAGGCTCCAGTTTGAGTCATCAGATGATACAGAAAAGCGTGTAAATTTTGAGGAAGACAGATGGGATAGTTATTGGGGAAGTGGGGAAGTCCAAAATGGACTTTCCTTCTATTCTTGCACTTCTGTACCTTCTTGAATTGATTTATTAGGAAAACAAGGAGGGAGGATAGACACTGAGCCTACAGTGAAGACATTTCCCTACGATGCCCATGTGCCCTGTCGGAGTCCATGCATTTGATTCTCTGTGATGGCTCCTGACTGTATGCCCTGCTAATGCAGATGCTAGGAAGCAGGTGATGGCTTCCTGCCACCCACATGGGAGACCTGGATTGAGTTCCCAACTCAGGCCGTTATAGACCTTTGAGGAGAGAACCAGTGAGTGGGAACTCGTGTGTGTGTGAGTGTGTGTGTGTGTGTCTCAAATAAAGCATGAGAGCTTTAAAAAAACTTTAAAAAATATTTTTAAAACTCTGATAATACTAATCATTTATTTCAGTCCAATCAAAGAAGATAATGCCGCATGGCATTAATCATTGCCTGAACGTTCTAAACATGTTGCCCGCCCCATGGCTCACCTCTGCCTAGTGATAGGAAAGAGCCACCCAAAGAGAGGATGTTAGGGTGAAATAGACACAAATTTCAGTTCTGCATCTCATGGATATGGCTTTCAGGAATTAGAGTTTGAGTGTGCGAAGATGAGTAACTTCTGCAGATGGAGGCAGCAATGGTTACACAACAAGGTGAATGTATTGAATGCCCCTGATCTTTACTCTTAAAATGGTTTTATTGGTTTTTAAAAATGAATTTTGTCTTAAACAGTCTTTGACATTCACCTATGTAATTATGTAAAAAAAAAAGAGTTCAAACATAGAAATAGAAAAGTATAATCAAATCTAACTTAATCAGTTACATTTAAATCAAGTAAGGAGTGCTTCTTATGACAGAAGCCTGTAAAAATCTATGACAATTGGCAGATTATGATTCAAGTAACTGTAACTTTTATGACATAAAATATTTTCAAAACATGAGTATTAATTTATCTTCAATAAATTAATAAAAGTCTGCACATTATTATTTTTAAAGGCTCCTAAGGAACTATAGATCAGAAAACAATAATTGACATCTATCAGATTGAAAAGCCCGCAGAAGAACCAGTGTGCAAACCCATGTATAAGTGACAATTTGAGGAATCAAGATTCAGATATGTCTTTCAACCTCCACTTCAGTGTGTGTCTCATGAGTACAGTAAGGTAGTAGAGATCAATGACTAAAGTTGTTTTGAAATTATCACACTTGGATTTTAGGATTTTTTTTTTTACTTTCATTGTTTCTCAATTGAATGTTTTTGACATAATTTTTCTCCTCTTACTACTACAGAACCTTATTTTTCCGCAGATGATGCCAAGGCAATCGTTGATTTCCATATCTGACTTTCACTCAGATTTTATTTGCTTTCTCTCTCACTGGTTAAAAAATGCAAATCAAATGCCTCCCCATGTCCTCAAGTCAAAACAACTCTGGAAAGAGAGTGATTATGCAGAGTTTATTCTAAAATCAAAAGCTAAATAAGACCTCCTACAGTTTTTGTTTAGTTAAAAACAACTTACTGAATCACATTTCTGATTAGGAATTTGAAAGTGCCAAAAGCCAGCATCCTGTGTCAGGATCATAATTTCCAATTTGCATAGGAAAAATTTGTATCTGTAGCACTGAAAGATAATTCCTCCTCTGCCTAAGAATATCCCTGTCCTTCTGTCCTGGGGCCCTGCTCTTTGCCGTTGCCACCTCCATCCTCTCCTCTGCAGACTTTCCTCTTTGTCCCTGCGGGTTTACGGAGGCCTTCTCTTCCTTAACTGCTCTTCAGCATTTGACCCCATTGGCCACTTCTTGAAACTGACACATCCCTTGGCTTCCCCAGAAAACATTCTCCTGCTTCTCTTCCCACCCTTGGCCAGCCCCTTCTAGAATTTCTCATGCACTCCTCTTCTACCCACCAGTAAGTGGTCCTGCATATCTGGATTCATCTTCACCTTCCATCTTCTCTCCCCTTGACTTTGCTCTCTTCAAGGAAATTCCTTGCATGTGATCCTATCCCAGTCATTCCATCTCAGCCCTCCCTTACTGCACTCAAGATTGATTCCTCTGGATATCTGGTAGCCACCCCAGACCCAGAATACCTTTGCTCTTTGCTCCATTACCCCTCTCCCAAATGTGTCTTGTCCTGAACCTCAAAGCTCAGAAATACCAGCACCCATCCATCCAGTTCCAACCCAAAGATCTCCCTTCACCCTCCTCTTCCCTCATCCCAAAGTCCCATTAGTCACCACCAAGTAGCTATTCTACTCATTAAGCTCTAAAACTCACCCTCCTCTTTCCTTTCCCACTGTCTCAGTTCAGGCTCTCAGCATTCCTCTCTTGGCCTCTTAGCTCTAATCATCTTCATGCCCATCACTCCCCTGTATCCACTCCTCTGGACACACCATCTGTCTCCCTAGAACACTGACTTGGTCAGACTCCTAGATTTAGTCACCAGGCCCCCTGGTGACTTCTGAAAAAAACTCTCGGCTGCTTAGCACAAATGGGAAGATTCTTCTCTCCCTAGACTTTCTCTCTTTCCTGTCTGATTTCCATCTGTCTATCCCACCTCCTCATACCCTGCCCTCCCCTCCCCTGAGGACACCCTCAGGAAAGGGCGTTGTACAGGAGAACTGTGCCAGTCAGGCCATCCTGGCTGACAACGCTCAGTCTTCAAACCTCAGTCCATGCATCACCTGCTCCAGAATCTGCCAGCAGAGCCGACTACCAGGAGGTTAGCTGTTTCCCAGCTCCCCCCGTTGGCCTCAGGAAGATGGGATTTCCAGTGTCAGTGTGCAGTGTCATTCATGAAACACAGGCAAACATAACACTCCTCACAAGTGCCAGGAACTGCATAGCTTTGAGAATTCTTTTTATTTTTTATTCATATAAAGAGAACAGATATCATGTATTTCATAGAATTCTAAAAAGATAACTACACTTCCAGCTCTCCCCCTACCCCCTTTCATTTTTTCCTTTCATGTTTGTAATAACACACTTTGAATTTACTTTATATTCACAGTCTTAACAGGCACCTCAGTACCCAACTCTAGTTATCCAGAATAGCCCAGTCACCTGTATTTGGAAATGTCACAGAGAAATCTAGTCTTACAGGAATTTAGCAGATATTTATTAGCAATCACTTTGTCTTTAGAGAATTCCGAGGTTCTAGAAAAAAGTCCCCATGGTAATGTGTTCTTCAGGTTATTTTGTAGCTTGGGTTATTCATTGAAGTGAACTGCCTCAACCAACTACATCACATAGTAGCCAGGAAACTGGCTTTTACGGAGCACGTATATCCAGTGTCTGGAAACTGAGACATGAAAAATGAGTAGGCATGGTCCACAAGATAAACTCAGATCAGTGAGGGGAGTACACTTGGAGAAGTGTTTTGTGTATGGCACACAGAAAATGCTTTGTAAGGTGTTACTTCATTCCAAACTGCGATCCAACTGGAAAATACAGTTTGACAGGCAGAATGTCACCACCGTGAAACTTTTTTAGGAACATGGAATCACATATTAAAGGTTATCCATTATAATCTGGGAAACCCTACAGACTGGCTTAAAAACCCTACAGACTCACGACTGGAACTCAAGGAAGGACCTGTTTGGCAATCAGGGTGTAATTTGGACAAAGAGAAGAAAGCTTTGGACAAGTGTGTATCAGCAGGTCAATGACATTGGGTCTTTGCGATAATAGGTTTAGGACCCTTCCTCTGCAGCCCTTTCCAGACTGCTCTATTTGGCATCAGGTATCGTGAATGTCTTTAGGAATCTCCCAGAGTTCTGAGAAAGTGAAACAGAACCTTTCATTTACTGCTGCAGGAAGATGGTTTCGGGTTCTTAGGAAAGCGCTTACATTGTAAGCTGTTCTTTATGTTCTACTTTATCTCTATATTACCCCAAAGCTGATGCATGATTACCACTGAACCATGCTTTCTCTTGATTACTCCAGTGTATTTGTTCTCCGTAATTTGTTGATAAGGCAGTAATTCCTGGGGAAATAGAATGTAAGTAAGTAGATTTTAGTGTTGATTCTCTACCACAATTCAAAGTCACTGATGTGCTGTTGCCACCGCTGTTGTTTTTTGCAGAACTGCACAAATATTGAGTGTTTGCAGATCTCCTGTGCGGTAGGACGACTGGAAGGGGGAGAAAGTGCAGTCCTGAAGGTGCGATCACGATTATGGGCTCAGACGTTCCTCCAGGTAATAAAGCACACAGAACTCCCACGCGCCACTCACAGGGCACGTCTTAACAGCTCATCAGGAAGCTTCTTTTTTTCCTAAAGGATCTTATTTTTACTTTATTATTTTTTAAATTTAAGTTACACAATTTTTAATCTTTTGTAAAGTTAAATGTTGGTGTGAGTGTTCAGCCTAGTGATGAAGACCCAGGTTAAGACACCTGTGCCCCCTATCAGAATGCGTGGGTTCATTGCCTGGCTCTGGCTCCTGACTTGAGCTTCTTACCAGTGCAGACTGGGAGTCAACAGTGAAGGCTCCAGTACTTTGGTTCCTGCCACCCACGTGGGAGACCTGATTATAATCCTGGCTCCCAGTTTTGGCCCCAGCTGGGAGCTGTTGAAGACATTTGAGGAGTGAACCAGCAGTTAAAAATTCTTTCACTATCCCTCTCTCTTTTTGTATCTCAAATAAATTTAATATTTTTCATTTTTTAAATTAAAAAGCTTTAAAAATTTTTAAAAATATTTGTTTATTTACTTGAAAGTCAGAGTTAAAGAGAGGCAGAGGCAGAGAGGGGGGGGGGTTTCATCCGCTGGTTCACTCCCCCAGATGGCTGCAACAGCTGGAACTGTGCCCATCCAAAGCCAGGAGCTTCTTCCAGGTCTCTCAAGGAGCCCAAGGACTTGGAGCATCTTCCACTGCTTTCCCAGGCCACAGCAGAGAGCTGGATCAGAAGTGGAGGAGGTGGGACTTGAACTGGAGTCCATGTGGGATGCCAGCACTGCAGGCAGCCACTTTACCCACTACACCACAGCACCAGCCACAGCTTTAAATATTTTAAAGTAAATTTCTGTAGGGAAGTTGAGCCAAGATCAGTTGATCAACTTTCCCGGCAGGTGAGGACAATTTAGATATCTGAAGTCCCCAGGATCTGAGTTAAACAAACATGTTTAGCTCACTGCTGTACATTCAGTGCCAGGCATGGAGTAATTCCTTAGTTAACTATTAGTCAGTGGGAAAGCAATTCAAACCATGTGTTCAGAAAAGTAAAAATAGAAATCAGTTTGGAAGGGAAATGAGAAATTGTTCTAGAAAGTTCCTCCTGTCAAGTGGTTCTGCCACCAGTGCTTCAATGAGGACTGCCTCTCAGTATGATTCATATAGTGCTGAGTGCTTTGCCTCATCTGTCCTGTGGTATCCCACCCTGTGGATAATTCGATCATTCATTGTGTGCAGCATCTTAAAAGTTGAAAATCTCTTATACTAAGAAAATGAAAATTTCATTTTGAAAAGAACATTTCTTTAGGCATTACCACTATTGTAGCCTTATTATGTGTGGAGGATTTTTTTGGAAAGACTAAATTTAAACTTCTACCATGTCTGTGCATATGTCAACTAGAAAATTCATTTGCTTCATTGTGCCATAAAAACCAAATGGTAAAATCTTTTTAAGTGTGGCTGCTATAAATATATAAATTTGCATCTCTAGATTTTCATGTTTTCTTGATTAAAAATACTTCTATAATCTCACTTAATTTTGTTTCTAAAATAAACACAAGGAAAATTGAAGAAAAGATTGTTCTGTAGGTTTTTTTTTTAACCCCAGCAGCACTAACATTTTAGCCTACAGAGTTCTTGGTCAGAAGTCATCATGTGCATTATGGAATGTTTAGTAGTAGCCTGTCCTCTCCTCAGTGGACGCCAGCAGCAGCCCTATCCCAGTTGTGACAACCAAAAATGTCTCCAAATATTGTTAATATCCCATTGGGGTCAAACTGTCCCCAGTTTTGAGCCATTGACTTAAGAATAAGCGCCCAATTTATTTGATCCTTTTTGCTTTTTTTTTTTTTTATCCAATTATTGATTCATTTATTCACTCAGATATTTATGGGTCACCTGCTCTGTGCTTCTGGTTACAGGTGAGTCAGCATGAGTAAAGCAGACACAGAGCTCCTTTATAGAACCACAGTCTCAGTAGAGGGGTCAGAAAATGAGCAGATAAACAGATGCGGAAGATCTGTTGAAACAGAGATGAGTACCTGGAAGAAAGTGAGTCAGGGTAGTGGGATAAGCAGTCGGGAAGTGGGCTGCTTCTGTAGGCAGGGAGGTGACCTGGAGCTGAGCTCCACATCATGGGAAGCCCCACGGGCAGAGTCCCAGACAGAACAAGCAGCAGTGCCAAGCCTCTGAGGCCACACACTTTTGACATGCTCAAAAGAACAATGAAGACCAGCCTCTGTCGCCACAGAGGTGGCGGAGGAATACCAAGGAATTATACACCACGGCAAGGAGTCTGGATTTTAGTCTAAGTGCCATGGACGGCCACTAAGGAAATTAGTCTACAAAGACATGTGAATAAATAAACTGATGCATAGGCTCACAAGAGAATGCTATCCAGAAACAAAAAGGAGAGAATTAGATATGCATTAACATAGATGAGTCTCAGGAACACAATGCTGAGTTCAAAGGGCAAGTAAAGATGATTGAATCACATAAAATTCAAAAGCAGGCAAAACTTTATAGAGACAAACGAAATCAAAGCAGAACATTTAGCGGGGCAGTAAGTAGCCTCTTGGGGTGTGCCCAGTCAGGGAGGAGCACGGAGGGTGTCACTTTAGGCAGCCGTAGGCATGCAGATGTTCTCATCGTGTGTAACAAATGGTGACATCTCCATGTTCAATAAAACAGCTGTTACAGGGTGGTACTGCGAGCACCGAGATGGCTGGGAACTTTGTGCAGTAGTCCCAAAGGATATAATGGTGGATTAAACTGGGGTGGAAGCCGGCGCCGCGGCTCACTAGGCTAATCCTCCGCCTTGCGGCGCCGGCACACCGGGTTCTAGTCCCGGTCGGGGCGCCGGATTCTGTCCCGGTTGCCCCTCTTCCAGGCCAGCTCTCTGCTGTGGCCAGGGAGTGCAGTGGAGGATGGCCCAAGTGCTTGGGCCCTGCACCCCATGGGAGACCAGGAGAAGTACCTGGCTCCTGCCATCGATCGCACGTGCGCTGTTGCAGCGCCCCGGCTGCGGCGGCCATTGGAGGGTGAACCAACGGCAAAGGAAGCCTTTTTTTTCTTTTTTTTTTTTTCACTGTCCACTCTGCCTGTCCCCCCCCCCCCCAAAAAAAAAAAAAAAAAAAAACTGGGGTGGGACAGTGGAGCAAGGGAGATGAGCTGAGTCAGCATTTATTTTGAAGGGCAAACCTATGTTGAATCTATTGTGAGAAACTGAGGGAAAGGGAAGAATCAAGAATGACTCCATTGTTTTTTGCTTAGATAGTTTCGGGAGAGGAAACCAAGAGTTCTTCACAGTCCTACAGTTCTGATTCTGTTACCTCCTGCTATGTAGCAAATTTCTCTGCAACCTAGCAGCTTAGAGCAACATGCATTCATCCCATCACTCTGAGAATGAGGAATCGGGCTGTAGCTTGGCTGGGGGTTCTGGTTCACATCTCTCCTGGGGTTACAGTTGAGAGGGCGGTGGGCCTGCAGAACCCCTCACAAAGGGGAGTGTGGTACTTGCTGTCAGCAGGCCTGTGTGGCCCTCTCCATGGCGAGGCTTGGTGTCCTCACACAGCCACTAGCTTCCTCCAAGCAGGCAAGCCAGGAGAGAGCAAAGTGGCAACTGTGACCTTGGAAGTCACATTCTGCCATTTCCAGTTTCCTATTGCTTATGCACCTCAGCCCTGTATGGGAGCAGCCCACACAAGGGTGTGTGTACCTGGAGGCAGGAATCACTGGGCGGGGGCCATGATGCACTAACCACAGATGCACTAACCAATTCTTTGATTTCCCTCTTTTAGAGGAAGTTTATCTCAAAGCAAACACTATAAATCCCGTTTTTCTCTGGTTGGATTAAAACTAGCAAGAAAGTATATTATGATCAATAAATTATAGTTTTCTAAGGCCAATGTCATAAACTATCACAAACTGATTGTCTTAAAAAGACAGAAATTTATTCTCTCACAATTCCAAAGGCCAGAAGTCCAAAACCAAGGTGTTGGTTCCTTCTGGAGATTTGAAGGGAGAGACCATCCCACACCTTCCTCTTACCTTCCTGTATTTGCTTATAATCCTTGGCATTCACTGGTTTTTCCATACTTCTGTCTCTCCTCCCTCTTTCTGATCTGTGTCCTTGTGTCTTATCCTTTCCTGTCTCTTTGAAGGGCACTTTCACTGAGATCAGAGCATAATCTATTCACAGTATAAACTTATCTCAAACCCTACCTTAATTACACCTGCAAAGACTCTTATTCCAAATAAGGTCAGATTCTAAAATTCTGCAGAGACGTGGAGTTGGGCAGGACGTGATTTCAACCCACTAAAATCAACAATGCATGCCCACTCTATTCCATTTTGCCACAGTATTGGTGTGTATTTTTTTAATCTAATAGATATGCTTCTTAAAACACTTCACTCTCCTTAGTAATATCTGGGGAAGTACCCTGAGTTTCAGATGTTTATGTTATGACTCCGTTGTCTTTCTGTTCGCTACTTACTTTTTTCATCTATTCTCAGACACATCATCACTAATCTTGGGCAAAATTTTGAACCAGAACCAAGTGAGTGTAGAAGCTTCAGAAGTTCTGGTAAATATTGGCAAACGTTTATTTGTGAACATATGGGTGAGAATGTTTTTGGATTTTATATCCACCCATTCACGTGTGAAGCTGCCTGTTAGGAGAGTGGCATGTAAAAAACTACAGACTCACAGTAAAATGAAGTTCTGGGAGTGACGATGTGACTTACATTAGAATCTGTAGTCTCTGTCTTTGTTGACTACCAAGTCAGGAAGCAGGAGCTTTGTTCCACTCCTGCCTGTCTGTGTTCAAGGCACCTAACTTTCAATTTCTTCATCTGTGAAATGAAGAAGATGGACTGAGTTCTCCTTTTGTATCTAAAAATTTGCAGATTCTATGAGCAATTCACATGGATCCTCTCCTAATGGGTTATTTATGATGTTTGTTCTGCTTAGCTAAACTTAGCAATAACCCAGAATGCTTTATTAATAGCCTTCTTTTGTACTG